AAATCTCGAAAAGATGTTTCAATGACAGTTTCTCTAACGGTGAAAATGATCCGTTTTGTTCCCTATGAGTGAAATGTCCCCAGTGAGCCTAACATCGTTGCTGTCCTCTGGTAAAACCTCTGGACTCGTATTATAATTCATCTTATTGGAACTTATCAACGAGGCTGGATTTCTCGCCAGAAATGTCGGCCTTCTGAATCGCAAAACAGTTCCGCGTTCCCTGTCGGCTATCTTTCGCTATCATCTACCTTTTCCCATCAAGCTCAAGGGAGATTCCGAGCATTCGAGCTCGAGCAGGTCTCGGTAGAAGCTTTTTCCGGCGCAAATCAGGCGTCTATCTCGACCGGGAAGCGATTGATCCACTTGCCAGCAATTAGACGATCCAGAGAACGCAATACCCGAGTGTCTGGTTCAGACGGAAGGGAGTTGAACCCTTATCGAGGCCGCTCCTTGCCTCTCGGGCACACTTTCCACGGCGACGAACCCTTCGTCAGGCTTTCGGGATTACCGACAACCGGATATGACAGGTTTTATACGGAATCAACGGTCCACCGATGTAATTCAGCCAGACGGCCGATACACGCTTGGGAGCGGTTTTTCATTCGGCCCAAATTCATCCGGCCGTTTGTTAATAACTTCGCCGTGTCACGTCGATCCGACGTAACGCTGAAATAAAGCTGACGCGTATCCTTCGCGGGGGAGATTCGTAATTTAAGGCGGATCGGGAATCTGTCAAACTCAAAGGGCTCCCCAGCGATTTCGTGTCGCGACGAGCTCTTCCCTCGGTCTCCCGACCTTCTCGAGGGGAGCTTTCAAGATCCGCCGAGGATTTTTCCAGCCGCGGGCTTCGTTGCCGCCGTGCCGCCGTTCCCGATCGATGCCGGATCGATGGTTGTCGCGGGGCTCTCATTATTCGGTTTATATCCGGTGCTCGATGAACCGGCGCGGCGGCGCACGCGTCGCGATAAATCGCCGGCGAAATATGAGACCGAATGGCGACACCGGGCCACTGCGAAAATCCACATGCCGGAATTGGCACGATTCCACCAGTGGCACCTGTCGCTCGTACGCGCGCATAAATTTTTTTCATCGCGCCCGGCCAGGTCGCGCGCGATTAATAGGGCCAGATTAAGCGAGGATTTCGTCCGGCGGAAAGTCCTCCACGAGCCGCCGCGAATCGACCGATTTTCGCGTTCATTCTGCTCTGTTATTCGTCCCTTTTTCCCATCTCGGCCGCCGTCGCCGCTTTTTAGCCCTTGGATTTTGCTATCAACCTGTCCCTATGCGTCCGCTATACTTTTTCGTTATGTACTCGGGAAGTCGTGAAGCGATACGGAATAACATGGAGGTTGTAACTGTTGAGAAAATGCTCGAGATTAACTGTGAATCTTTCGCAGTCGCGTCATCATTATCTTCTGTTCTGAATTGAGAGCTTTATTACATCAAGGCGTCAAATTGTTAAAGATGATTATTTCTACTCCCCATCGGTGTTACAGCTGCCGTCCCTCGAGGTTCTCACCTTGGACTTATTCTTTACAATCTATTTATTAACGACATTATTGTACGTTTTCAATATTGTTTCTTGTTGTTGCATGCTGATGATCTTAAATTCTTTCATTCCATTGAAAATTCCTCCAGTATTGATTTAATACGATCTTGAGATTTGATTGGTTTGTTGTGAATATATCTGAATGCGCCATTGTTCGCTTTCCTCAAAGCATAAAATAAGAATAGTTTAGATAGAAAATAGAATAGAAATAGAAAGAATAGTTTATAATAAAAAGAATAATATACAATTATTCGATTAATGCTTCAACTTTAAGTGCTGGTAATTCGTGCCTCGAAAGTTCTTTTTTCCATGGTCATTTAAGTACATCCTATCTATCTTTAAGAAGTCATCCCCTTTTACAAGAAAAACGGCATAGAACTTTATCCGGTCAATTCAACTGCCCGAATAGGATTTTTATAGTTGCAAATAAATGTTGCAGCTGTATCGACATTTCCAGTGCGAATGATAAATTCGAGCTACATTAAACATTATATCGTCTACGATATTCAACTAATATTTCCTAGCGTAAATATTCTGCGTTGCGAAAGGGTTCGTTGTCCGTTTTACCAATTTTCGTTTCAGCATTTTATTGAACAATTTCTGGCTTAATTTACTCGAACTGCATGTATTAATTTAAAAGGCTGGCCCGGCATAGCAAACTAAATTACACTGCACCAACTCCAATACCAATGGCCACGGAACTTCGAAGCAGAAATAAAACAACCGTGGACGACGATCGAGAAAAATAAGCCAGGCTCGTACGAGCAGCGTAGTAGGTCCTCTGTCCAAAATGAAAGTAAAACAAAACGACGATTGCAGACGTTGGCCGCGATTCGCTGATTTTTCGAGCGTAAAGAGCGAGAGCGAATCTAATTAATGGGGCGGCGATGAGTTCGGTATCGCGTGCGTCGAATTAAATAGTAATTTGTAGAGGGGAGGGGAGGGGGGAGGGAGGCGGCGAGAGAAAGGACGAGGAGCACGATGTCGCGCATTTGTCCGCCTCGTCGGGACTCGTCGTCCATTTTCCCGAAGAATGGAAGGGAAGGTTGGAGGGTTTTCCGGGAGCGTCGACGAGCGACGGAAAGAATTACAACGGGCGACGATAAAAACGCGGCTCGCACGGTCCTGGCACTTCGGCAGTTTCGTATTAAATCATCATAAATTTGCATCCCGAATTGGCATAATGACTAGCGAGAGGTTCAGCCGTTCCGAGCGCGAGCTCATCATAGAGCACGCTTCTGCACCTGCGGCTTGTCACCATTTTTTCTCTTCTGTCTCGCTCTCCCTCATTCCCTCTCTCTCTCTCTCTCTCTCTTTCTATCTTTATCTCCGTCCGTCGCTGCCTTTTTCTTTGCCAATTGTCCACGCGGCCCGCCGAATTACTGCGGGCGCGTTGGTCGTGTTGTTTGTCGCGGAGGAAATGAAACGGGATTGCATTAACCCCGAGTTACATTTCATTCCGGGTAATTTTCCGACCCCCTCCGTAGCGTCGGCGGATTAAAAAAATATTAGATATTCTTTAGCCGGCGTCAGGTTATCAGCCCTTGATCCCTTAAGTCGATCCCCGTGCCGGCGAGAAGGAGAAGCGAGCGACACGGTGGCGCGCGCGATTTTCGCGTCGCCGCCTCGTTTAATATTCATTACGGTGTAATACGTGTAAATCAGCCGAACGAATTGCACATTTCGCGACTGTAAACGCTGCGGCAAGCGCGCCGCCCCCGCTCGGCGGTCGCGATTAATTCCGATACAAGCCATCGTTCAAACATTTGAATCGCTTGGCCGAGCACTTTAGCGCGAATTATAGAAGCTTCGGTTATAAAACGATAATGATGCCACCGCGGATCGATCGGCGAAATAATTCAGCGAAGTTTCAGCGGGATCGGAGACGACCCGCTTTGCACCGGCTCGCGTCAGCTCGCAGCGTCGCGACGCGCCGCGCCGGGAAAAGTTTGCTACACGAGAGCACCAGTCTAATACCCCTTGTCCCTTGGCCCCGAGCCGCTTCTCCATTCTATTATTCAAGCATCCTCCAGTTCTTATGCAGTCCGATTTCTTTGTCTACCGGATCCTCGAGTCTCCGGGCCTCTTCGACGAGGTTCCAGAGCACCTTCGAAGAAGCACCCGGGCGGATTTTAACATGAACCTTTGGCGCGAACGAATTCTAGACCGCGTCGCTGCTACGTATTAGGAAATGAATTTGCCGGCGAAGTCTTTTTGCAGCGGCGCGATCGGCCCCCTTCTACCCCGGCTCCTCGCCCCTGTCCCCTTCGATTCCTGCCGACGATTCCTGTTAAAGACGAAAACGAAAGCGGTCCCGCCGGCCGAAAACAGCCGACTTGCTCGGCGACTCTCGATGTCGCGAAAATTGCCGAATAAAACGCCGAGTTAAAGGTGAAACCAATGGATCTTGGAACCGTGTTAACTCTTCGCGGACGTATTATCCAATCTTTTTGATTTGCTTTTGCATTGACAGTAATAAACGTTACCTGCAACACGAATCAAAACAATCATATGTAATGCTTGTAGTGTAAATAATTAAAATGGATAGCATTATTTTTATAATTCGTGATTAATCTGCGGATCTTTGTGCAAATTCTCAATTTTATACGCCCTTTTCGAAAACTGCACGACGAAAATAAAAATGTTATCAGACCTTTCCAGACATTTTCTTGCATTTTAAAAAATCTGCGATTGCCATAAATGCATGAAGATCCGCGGTTTACCCATGATTCTTCCTTAATTATGTATAATCCTCATTACAAATATCACTAGAAACTCAACTCATGCTCGTGCGACCGTCGCTGCGTTATTATAGTCCTCAGTAGTGCGAGGGTTAAAACTCAACTCTTGCTTAATTTAAACTCAACTCTTGCTCGAGCGACCGTCATCGCGTTATTATAGTCTTCAGTAGTGCGGGGGTTAAAACTCAACTCTTGCTTAATTTAAACTCAACTCTTGCTCGAGCGACCGTCATCGCGTTATTATAGTCTTCAGTAGTGCGGGGGTTAAAACTCAACTCTTGCTTAATTTAAACTCAACTCTTGCTCGAGCGACCGTCATCGCGTTATTATAGTCTTCAGTAGCGCGAGGGTTAAAACTCAACTCTTGCTTAATTTAAACTCAACTCTTGCTCGAGCGACCGTCACCGCGTTATTATAGTCTTCAGTAGCGCGAGGGTTAAACAGCAAACAATGTATCCCGATCTTTTGTCATGTGCGTAATTTCATGTTTGCGATTGGATGAAGAAAAGATACGTCGCCCTGAAAGGGTTAAAAGAAAAATAGATTTCCGTGGTGAAAGTTCGGAGGCTGTCGCGACTCGTTACAGACTACAAATTATTGCCAATAATTATCGGCCAGCCGCGCGGGTATGTTCACTGATTTATGCGTATTTCCCTTTCGCCAGTTGCCAGGGATGTTCATCACATTCCCTTTCTTTCGTTTGATTCCAGGTGCAAAGTGGCGGATTTTCGGAGCCGGCGAAGGGGCAGCAGGATCAAACGAAATTTAATCATGCGGAAGCCGGGCAATCAATTCGCCGGCTTACGGCCACGGCTTAAACGTTGTAAATTTTCATATCTCGCGACTCAGTTTACCCGGCGCGGCCCTCCGAAACACGATGGAGAGCCCGACAATTATTAAAGTGATAACTAGTTTTAATAAAGGGGGACGGGATTACGCGGGCGCGGGCTATATTAAAATGCGGGACGGCCGCGGGACGATCCGCGGGAAAATCCCTTTTACGAGGGCCACGTGGCCGAATTTTCACGGGAACAACGCCGGGGGTGGATCACGCTCCGCAGTGGGGGCGGGACGAAAGACGTCGCCGGGAAGAGGGGGAACGAGCAAACTTTCCAACCGTGAGCGAGGCAACGTCGACCGACTAATTAACATAATTAGAATCACTCTTAACCGTGAAGAGGGAGGGGAAGAGTCCCAGGTGGAAAGCGGCGGAAAAGTGGACCACCGCGGAAGACACCGGCTGCCGAGGAACTTTTTTAAGCTGTTCCCGCTAATTTCCAGACGGACGACGCAATGGAACCGGGGTTCGGAGGCGGACACGTCGGTGATAAGTGAGTTTTCACCGAGTTCCCACGCTGATCTTCCTCTCGGGGCTCATTCTCTGCTGTAACGTATCCAAAGAGGACCGATGCGACGTTTACCGGCCCGAACATTACGGGGACTTTCGATCGTTCTTCCGAGGTAACTGACGATGTTTGCCACCGGAAACTGGTATCTGTCACCATAATTTATGAGTATACTAACCATCTGGAAGATACTGATTTCTTGAGCCGTAAAACGCCACTCCAGCGATCCAAAAAATAGAGTAATTCTGACTCTGTGTGCTCTTTCCGAGAATTCGAAAGTTAATCTTTACATTGAGAGGGAAACTTCGAGGCGACGGAAAATTATTTTTAAATCACTGTTTGTACTTAATAATTGCTAAAAGATCCACAGTTTTGCGTTGTTTCTTTTAAAGTTATTGAAACGATACAAATTCTTTCGTAGGAATTGATTGTGTAAACTTGTTAGCTCGAGAAAAATTCGCGTAGTACAAAAGTCGAAAAGTCTAAATAGTTTTTATTTTTATAAAGTAACGTGCAGTGAGACAGCAAAGTATTTAAACGCTTCTTAAAAGGAAAAAGCTTCTTCATAATTAGGCCAAACGGTCCAAATTTGTTTGAGACGATGGAGTTATGTTCCGAGTCCTACAAAACGCATTGTTTAAGTTTTCGTTACAAGCTAAGACTGAAAAGTCAAAAATCGCGAATTTCTTATCATTTTTTATTCCGATCAATCGCAATTTTTTTAAATAAAACTTCTATACATCGCCTAGTAAACTGATCCATCTATTCGTATATCGATATTTTAGATTTTTGGGAACTCTAAGGAAAGGAATTTTCGCGAACTTGAGAGACGAGCAGACAAGAGGCATGGACTGATGGATGATGGAGCGGTATCGATTAACGAAGGCTGGTTGATTGGTGTCCGAGCGAAACTATTTTACCAAAATAATCCTTTTCTATAATCCTATCGACGAATCCCGTACGGCCCGGCCCGGCCTTTACGCGATCGTACACGGCGTCCCGACCCGGCGATAGATTCATGGAGTTAACGAGATAACGAAGTGTGTTAAAACCAGCGTCACTGATATCGCGGCAATAATTAAAGCGCGCGGTGCTCGGCTCGGCTCTGCTCGGCTAGGTGCAGGCGGCCGGTCGCGCGCCACCAGCGCGAAATATTCGCGGTGGAACCGTGTCGATGCACTAATTTACTTCTAATCGCTGGAAAATACTGGCGGCTAGAATAATATTATTATCCGGGATAATGCTATTATCGCGATTCGGTCTGACGACTGGGGGGCGGGCCGGGGGAGGGGCCGGCGCCGAGAGGAGGCGGGCTCGGGCAAATCGAATTTCGGTGAAGTTCGCAGCAAAATCATTATTATTATGGCAGATCGTTTGCAAACAATGCGCTCAGGGTTTCAAATATTGATCCTGTGACGTAATCGTCGCTGAAATTGCCCCTGCGGCCTCGCTGTAACGTGTTACGGTCTCGTTACCGGTTAGTTTATGGTACAGTGCTTAGCAAACACAGTATTCTAATCGCTGATAAGGTCGCGCGCGCGGCACATTTTTCGTGATATCGGTCGCGCCCCCGAAATGAACTCTCGAACGGTCCTCGGCACCGTTTCGGCCCGTATCTACCCGGGCCCGATGCTTTTTCAAGTATCCCTGTTTCATCTATAGTTTACACTTCCGTCGGAAATATTGTTATTTACTTATTTGTTCGTTTCATTTTTAATATCGAAATTAGTTCGTGGCTACATGTTTTCCTCTACGAGCAAACTACATTTTTATCATCCATTTCATTCGGAGACATTTATTTATTTTATTTAACTTCGGACTTCTGAGATGCATCATCACCCTGAAGATAATTAATTGATTCAATTCATAAAAAATTTGATCTGCTGTTATATATATATATATATAACAGCAGATCAAATTTAATATAATATATACTATATATACATTATCATACATAATAATATAATATATAGTATATATATATATATATACATTATCATATATAATAATATGATATATATTGTATATACATTATCATATATAATAAAATAATATATACTATATATACATTATCATATATAATAATATACTATATACTATGTATATGTATTATTATTATATAACAATATAATGCAAGAACAAGTAATATAATTTATATGAAATTCATAAATAGATATAACAGAAATATTATATAAAGCCTCGAAAATAATATAAGCAATAGAAATTTCTTCTACTATAGCTTCTCATTTTGGTCAGCACTGAAATCTCGTAGTTTCGTAGAAACGAGTCGCGCGACAATAAACCTGGACTCACTTTAAAGCTTGCAGCTTTTATCTTCGCCGTGTTTCGTTCATTTTCCTCTAGCCTGTATTCGTGTGGTGTAGCTGGCAGTAAATTAAAGACATGCTGTTCCTTGAAAATATTGCTCCATCGAATGAATACACACGTATTCTCTACCTTCTAATCATTCTAACTTCTGTTTTAATTCCAGCATTCTGAAAGAAAATAGCATCATCGTCACCCTGAACCTACAAAAAAGAAGGAGGGCTAAAAAATTAAACGACATCAAAGATTCCCGATTCCGTTTAACGGAACCTGTGGACGTACGAATAGAAAAGGTCCTCCACCCTTTCGAGCCTGGAACATTGCGGTGCAGGGGTGATTGCGACTCGCAGGTGGCGCACAGGCCGAGTTAGCGAAACGGCTGCAAACGAGTTGTATTTAATAAACTGGAAACTCCGTGGTGCGATTACTTCGCGGCGCTGAAAGAAGCCGAAAACGTTTACCGGGGCGTTTCTGGCGACACCGGCGGACGCCGAATTCGGCTGCCTTTGACGGGGTCGCGTCGCCGAACGTAAAAGGGAAAGTCAACGCGACCCGACAGCCGAAAAGGGAAGTCGTCGAGTGGAAGAGAAATGGAAATCAAGATGGACGAAGCAAGGTAGAGAGAGAGAGAGACAGAGAGAGAGAGAGAGAGAGAGAGAGAGAGAGAGAGTGAGCGAGAAGGAGGGCGAGAGGGCGAGAGAGAGGGGCTCGAGGGTGAGGTTGGCAATTTGCTTTGAAATCCCCGGTTTCTCTCCAGAGTCACTCCACTTTCCGTCTCTCTTTCAAACCAACCCTCGCCGTCTGTTTCCCTTTCTTTCCCTCGGCGACGTCCTCATCCCCCACCATGTCCCACCGCGTGCCAGCTCGCTCGGCGCAGCCATCGTTCTTCTTCCATCGTCGGCTGACAGAAATGTATGTGCACATCGTGATCCCGTACACCGTCTACCTCTTTCGCGGCATTAAAGTGGATCCGCGACGGATACCGACTGTTTGAGTTACATTTAAATTATACGGTGACCGGGGACACTCTCGCGCCGCCACCGGGTCAAAATTCGCCAGACCGTCCTCGCCAAAGCAGCCCTGTGACCTTCGGCTTTCTTAGACCGCCGATTCAGGCCGGTCTCGCTGCAAACTTCTGCAGCTTTTGTCAGCTAATTTCTTATTCGTTAAACTCCTCTATTTCTTCGCAACTTTCCGTTGAATTTTTCAGACTCTTCGCAGACCTTAAACAGCAAGAAACTTCTCAGCCCCTGAAAGCTAATTTCAATCTTCAGTCATCGAAACCTTGAATTTTTTAGCAACTTTCGCGTTGTATTTTGTTTTCAACAACATTACTGTGTTGGTACAGTAAGACGCTTCAGGATTTTTCGCATCTTTTTATTTCTCTTGCCGTAACATTTTCCGAGAATTTACAATGATTGGAACTTTCTCGACTGTGATCGTTTCGTAGAAGAAAATGAATATTTAAAAAATGAGAATTAAGCGTAGAACGGTGGAAAATTAGGTTCGTCAGTGATAGTCTCATCATTGCGTTCGGAGATTTCTCAGACGATTTTCTTGTCGATCTCTCTGATAATCGAAGAAAAGAATCCAAGTAAAAAATGAATTACTACAGCATCATACTAAATTGCTTGATAATATTAGCTTTTCTTTCCCAGATAGAGGAGTGTCGCAAATTCTATGACGTTCGCGGCCAGAGAATCAAAGAATCGACGAAACCCCGAACAGACTATTAAATCCGTCTGTGCTCGTATTAAGCGTCGCTGGCGGAGACAATTTCCGCGCTGAAGTAAGAATTCCGCGGGAAGTTTCGCGAAGAACGCTGCGGCGGTCGTTCGCGAACAAATTCGTCGCTTTTGTGAGCGAGGACTTCGAGGAACGCGAGAGCCCGCGAGTTGGTTTTCCGCGGGCAAATGGGAACCGCTATACGAACACGCGCTTGTCGTCCCTCGACGTCCCGCGAAAATCGAGTTTAATAGTAATTTCTGGCTCTGTACGCGATAGTGGTGGCTCGCCCCCCCCCTTTCGTCGCCGCCTGTCTTTCCGCCTCGTATCCGTCCGATCTTTTGACGTCGCCGACCTATTTGCTCGGGAACCATTAACGCCGCCGGAAAATTCACCGGCGAAATTCCACGAGGCAATCTCCTCCTTTCGCCGGGCGTTCCACGGCGGCGATTGTTTTTTAATCTGCCGTTACAAACGCGGAAACACCCCCGCACGAGTCCCTTGAAGCTCGTACACACGCCCCCATGGGGCACAGCTACGCAAATATATTTTTATAAAACCAGCTGCACGAGATGGAACAGTAAAAACGCCTGAAACCGATGTAGTGGATCATAAAGCGCCGCA